AACCATGCTATGATTCTATGATTCTATGAAAACCACTCTGCAATAATGACCACAGTAAACTCAGATCTAGGGTTCTTGTGACAACAGAAATGCCATTATCACAGTGTTTAAATTCAATAAGAAATTGTCTAAATATGAAGAAATAATTTTAAAAGAATCTTGCAGGCAGCATGGCGATTATCTAAAGGCACAGTTTTGTAGATTTGAAGCAAAAGCATGTTTTGTTTTGTTATTTTTAATCCTTAATGGAAAAAATGCTAAGCTGAAGTACTTAAACAGAGGAGTAAATGAGATTATTAGAGACATATGGAAATCCTTGGAAAAGTGGTAGCTGTGTCCAAGGGACTAAAATAAAAAAGAGCATAAACTCTGGCAAATTACTTGAAACATAAGAGTAAGGCAGTCCAGAAAAGAAATAAAGAACCAGCTTTTAAAGGCATAAAATTGAATAACAATTTTTCAAATGTGTTAAAGTTGGGAGGTATGTAGGTTGATGTATGTGTTTGATTTTTAAAAGTTGTTTATCAAAGAGAACACCATAGTAGGAAATCTGTATTGGTATTCAGGATGGAGGAGCTAATGTGTTAACTACCATACAGCCTTTCTTTGTGTAGAATAAGTCAGAACAACTCTCTCGACCTGAACTGTGAGTAGAAGAGATTTTAGATAAACTGATGAATGAATAAGAATCTCTTCTCAGGACCAGGGGACTTTCAAGCAAATGTTCTGCAGGTTTGAGGCAGCCTGCAGTGTTTCTATTCCTTCAGATTGTATTGGTGCAGGAGATTGGAAAACAGCAAGAGAAATACCAGTTTTTAAAGGGCTGAAAGGGAAAGTCAGGAAAGTTTAGACCAGTCACTCTGATTTCAATCTGTAATAAAGAATACACTTTCTACACAAATGGGTAAATGTGATAATGTGAAAGTGAGATTAAAAAAAAGAGAGGTCAAAGTTCAACATACGGTAATGTACTTAAGGGGAAAAAAAACTGACTATATGTCAGTAGTAATAAAATTTAAGCTAGTTGTTGTTACTCAGAAAAGAGACCATGGAAGGATCTTAAATATGGTGTGTATCTCAGAACATGAAGGAACTAGAAATGCTTCAGAAAAGGCTAAGAAAGATGATCAAAGGTATAGAACAGCTTCCACATGACAGGAGACAAATGTAGGAGTCTTCAGACTGGAAAAGAGGTCATTGGCAAGGAAATATGCTAGCAGTGTATTAAGCCATGAAAGACATGGGTAGGTGAATAGGGAATGATTGCTCATTCTTAATCAAAAGTTAGGGGGCAACCAGCAAAGAGATCAGGTAGTAGGATTTGACTAAATAAAGGAGGTACTTTTCCCCCATGCAGTCCGTTATTAAAATGTGGAACTCCACATCTAGAGAGCTCTAGAAGGATGCTTTCATGGAGGAAAAGTTCATCAAGATCTATTCCACAGGAAGGTGTAGATACGAACTCTCTTTCAGGAAGTTCCTGGGGTGAAGATTTCCAGAAACAGGAATATATCCCAATAGTGTATCACTGAGTCTTGCTCTATTTTGCATATTCCTTCTGTAAGCATCTGCTCCTGTTCCCACAACGGTAAGGGCTGTTGTCCTAAGACCTTTAAACTAAGCTAGGATTTGGCCTTGGCTGACCATTCTCATGTTTCACCCTTGCACCCCTTGCTATCATCACAACTTCTTTCATGTGTTGTGGCTACAGCCCTGGTGCTGATCAGACCCTTTCCCCCCACAGTGTGTCCAAGAAGGCCTGTGGGAATTAGGCATGGCTAAAGGGGCACCAGGCACAAACAAGGGCCCTGGGCCTCTGAGGGTTCCTCACTCCATCCTTTACAGCCTCTTCCAGCTGCTGCCACTTTGTTATCAGCAGCCATCCGTGGAGAGAGCTGGTGGACAGAAGAAGGGGCACACAGTAGTTCTCATCCTGTCACCTATTCAGCATCAGGGACATTTGCCCACGATACCTTCTTCTTCTCCAGTGCCATGCTGAGGACATCAACTTCTCACCAGGGTGCTCTTTTGGAATTTTTAGGTAATATAAACCAGAAGAAATGCTACTTAAATGTGTGAAAGATCTGATATGGGTAGCCAAACTTCTGTAAGCTTTCACTTTTGTTATACCTACCAACTTCCCCAGTTGTCTTTGGAGTTTGTCTCTTGTTCTGCATGAATGTGTGCTTTACTACTTTTAATAATGTAGTTTTCAGTGCTTACAATTAATAATGAATTTTAATGTGTATAAGCCAGATCTCAGATGACCCTGTTACAACATGGACTGCCAAGGGAATACTTACATGAGATATGTCTTACTAAAAAATGCATTGCTGTTTGCATGCAGACAAATGGTTAAAAGCATGCAGGAAAGAGATATCTCTCCATTTCTGGCTGCTCCCTTAAACACACTTCTGTTTGGTTTTCCACCATTCTGACACATGTGCAGCTCTAAAGGAGAATTGGAAAATCTAAGGGCCTGAAGTTCCCTTCTGATTCAGAGGCAGATCCTGAGCTGATGTAAATCAGCCTAGGTTTATTGTAAGCAGTGCTATGTTTATGCACAGCAGCTGAGAATCTGGCTGGATACAAATTCCCTTAATAACTTTTCCTTAAACAGTTGCATATCCATCATTTTCCACTCTGAGTTTAGCTCTTTCACCTGTGCAACAACTGTACTTCCCTTGCTGACTTACAGATAAGTCGTGAGGCTTAGCTAATTACAGTAAACCACCATGAATTATTAAGATAATATGCTGTCTAGATGCTTCAGTCTTTCAAATTATGTCATAACTATTGCACACCTTTTGCTCTGTGTGTCTTACCACTAATAATACTTTTGAAATAATTATCACAATGAACTGTGTGATAGATACCCTGAATTCAGTTGCAGCATTTCTTATGTCACTTTGTGGAAACCACACATCAACAGTATCAAAACTATGGGTTCTTGGCTATGAAATGAGCAATGAAACTAGTATTAAAGATGGTTAGGATTTTCATTTCTATCTACCTAAAGTGTGTAACAGATGGGTTGATAACCCTGACTACTTTCATACTGTCTGTATTTACAGTAGGGCTTTTTTTATGTCCAGGACTTTAATTCAAGGAGATAAGAAAGCAGGATTTACGATTTTTTGGGCTGATGATGGTTTGGATACTGGACCAATCCTTCTGCAGCGAGAATGTGATGTTGGCCAAAACGATACTGTGGATGACCTGTATAACCGGTTTCTGTTCCCAGAAGGAATAAAGGCTATGGTATGTTTATCTGTACTAAATATCAACATTTTAAGAGGAAAAGAAAAGCATCTGCTGGACTTTGAAAGTAAAGGAAATACAGACAAGATGCATGCATTTGGAAAGACAGATGTTGTGGTGCTCAGCCAAAGCCTAGACTTCAGTGGAGCTGTGCTGCTTCACGACAGCTGAGGAGATGGCCTCAAGAGTATTTGTTGCTGGCAATGGGCAGAGCATGTCCTGTTGCCACAGAAGGCAAGAATTTGAATTTGTCTGGAATGTGGCTCTTCCCACAGATTTCTTGAATGTTTTTACAAGGTGAAATTTTTTAAAGGCTCAGAGAGAACAGAAACTTAGAGATGAGGTTAAAAAAAAAAGGGGGGGGGATAGTATTTTAAGTTCAGAGCCCTGGGGGATTGGCTTTGGATTTTGTATGCTTGTCCTTTTTCATATTGTTTTAAAATGAAGAAAAGAAAATGCATAAAAAAATACTCAGCATGGATCATTAGAGAAATTTTTTCTCTCTCCATTTAAATGCAGAGAAATAACTTTTTGCAGAAAGAAAAAGGAAAGAGTTGAATGCAATCATACAGAGCCACATTCTGGTACTGCAGAATTTAGGCAGCTGCTGTATGTTTGGTGACTAGCTACTCACACTCAATTTCTGAGGCTATTTCTTTTGTCAAAGTTTAAGCATATATGTATGTTAATCAGTACAGCACTCGTCCCATAGATTTTGGAAATCCTAGGTTTTAGAAATAAACCAGTTCCTCTTGTGGCAGAAAGTCTTTTGCTGTCATTCACAAGTATGACTGAGTGAAAAAGGGCGAATCAAGCTAACATTAAATCTGTTACTTTTTCACTTAGGTGGAAGCGGTACATCTAATTGCTAATGGCAAGGCCCCTCGTATACCTCAGCCTAAAGAAGGGGCAACATATGAAGGGATCCAGAAAAAGGAAAATGCAGAGGTAGTGTTAAATAACACTATGTTTTGTGTATGTCACTAGAAAAGTTGTTATTAACTCAGATTACAATAGTAGTGATATGAAGTTAACATTAGTTTTAACTCAGTTGTTTCCCCACCTCTTGTTCCTGGGATAACTCCAAGGATGCATGTAATGGAGCCCCAGGTTAAGTTCCTATTCCCTTTCAGCTGTTACATATATTTAGAAACTTGGTGTCCTACTTGGGATCACTTACACACAGCTAGATGGCAGCTGCACCTTCAGTGGATTCTTAATATGTTACCATACTTTTAAATACAGCATTGAATGAAGATAGCTCTCTTAGTTTACCAACAGTCCATACTAAATTCTCTACCAGAAATAGATTTGATGTTAGGAAAAGCAAGTGTTGGCACCTTTCCTGTCGGCCCCAGGAGAAAAAAATATAGGTCATGTAAACAAACAAGAAAATTATTGAAACACTCATAGAAGAATTATATAAGCATCCCCACTGTGTTAGCTGGATCTTCTTTGTGGTTGGGAAGGCCGCCACCAAATGATAATGAATGCTGCCTGTAATACCTTCTATTCCTTTTCTAGGCCAGTGCAAAAGTTTAAAAAAAAAAGAGAGAAAGAAAAAGTAAAAATGATACCAACAGTTTCAATCTCTTGTCCACAGTGAATGTAGTCCTTTCCACCTGCAATATTGTAGGTGATTCTGTTTATCATATTTCAATTCCTCACTTACCTTAGAAACAAATAGCTTTGCATAAGGATATTTTTATTCATTCCTTTACTATAATATATAAGCAGCTTCCTTGGAGTAAACTAGCTTAATCTCCCTGCTGTAAAACTATTCTCATTGGCTTATAAATTGCTTCTAAATATTCTTTGTGCTTAAACTGAGAAGGATGCTGAGTACCCAAGTTTTGTTATTTAATAGCTATTCTGATAGTTTCTTTATTTAATTTTGTACATATACTCACAATACTGTAAAGATAAAGGAATATATTTTCCCTGGTGTTACATATTAAATATAAATGACATTCTTAAAACATTATTTCCTTTTTCCTCAAAATCTTGCAGGAATTGCAAGTTGTAGTAGGCATTCCATTTATGAAACAATTCATAAAGTGATAGTAAATTATTAGAAAGTATTTTAATAAAAGTTGTAGATTTATTGAAGAACTTAGGATCCAAGCAGTAAATAGATGATTTTCAGCAGAAGGTCATATGCCAGACATACCCTTATTTATATTTATACTGTGCTTATTAAATTTGTTAATCATAATATTAATTATGAATAAATACCTTATAGCAAGAGTTATATTTTCATTATATTAGTGTGAGAAGAAGAATCTATGAAAAGACACAGACCACACAGAAAACAGAAGTGCTAAGAGCATCCTATTTGAAAGATCTTTGATGATTAGCCATCTTGAGATCCCTAATTTTCCTTTATTAGATCAGACCCTTTCTGTGTTCTTAGATAAATAAACGGTTGAAAGAGGAGGAGGGAGATTTTGTGATTCTTATATAGGAAAACATTACTAACTTGATTTATACCTAAACAGAGAAGAATTAGCTGGCATGTCTTGATTTCCTAGATCACCTGGGATCAACCTGCAGCAACTTTGCACAATTGGATTCGAGGGCATGATAAAGTGCCTGGAGCATGGGCAACAATAGATGGCCAGGTACGCTCTGAAAACCAGAAGAATGTTATTCTTTTCTATACCCTCTTTTTGACTTTTTTTATTATAAAAATAAAGGTGTCTGCATGCAGGTGAATGAATACAAATGAGAATTACATTGGAGTAGCTGTCATATGATGACTATATGTTTTGTACATATCTAGAACAGGCACCTAAACAAGTGTACAGAACACAGTCGTTAAGGTTTTTTTTAAAAATGATAGATCCATTTAATTCAAAGAAAGATAAGAGTAATATCTGAAAAAAAAATGGGCATGGTAGAAAGCAATAATTAAGAACAGTAGAACCAGACTGTGCTAGTCTTTTTGGGAAGTAGGCATGCATTAAAGTATAATGCAATGATGTTGCAAGTGGGCAACATCACAGTATTAACAACAAAATGAAACGCCATGAGCTACTGAAATAACAAAGAAGGGTTTATTTTAAAGAGATTTGGGCCTAGATCATTTGCAGAAATAAGTCTATCTCATTTTATCCAACACCAACTACTCCCTTTCAGTGTGTTAAAAGTATTATCCATTTGATCCACATTGTACTTACAGAAAATAATTTAAAGATCACATTATCTTTCCTGGCTGTGATGTCCAGATTTTGTTACTTGACTGTTTGGCTGCTCCAAAAGCTTGCCCTAATGTCCAGGAACTGTTGCTGATTTGAAAGCCCAGAAAGATCAGCAGAGCCCAAGAGAGAGGCAATGTTCAGTATTGCCAGCCTGGCAGTAGAGCTGGACTCTACCAGTCATAGTCAGGCTTATGCCAGTCTCTTGCTCTGAGCGTGCACTGACAAAAGCTGCTTCCCTTCTGCACTGGTTCCAGCATGCACATTGTTACAGCTGATCAGCTTTGCCGGTCTAGGCAGCTTGCAAAGTTTCACATGTCCTGGGTTGTAAAGATATAGAAATAATGTTCTAACATGTTTTCCATGTGTAGCTACTTATATTTTGTTTATATTATATTAAAGCTTCAAACAGTATCATTTCATTGTTAGAATTTTAGAGCATGTTTAGAATCTGTGCACTTTTAATTCCATTTATTTTTAGGTCGTTACTTTCTACGGGTCATCATTACTTGATGCTTCAGTGCCTGCTGGACAAGAGCTGGCAATAAAAGGTGCTTCAAGACCTGGACTTGTAACCAAGAATGGTCTAGTCATTTTTGGTAATGATGGGAAAATGGTAAGTGCTCACCCTGCCAAACATGAGCGTGGATGGATTAACTTTAGCAAGAAGTGCAAGTAGTGTGGAATTGTCAGGCTATACAAATTCAACTGCTAATGACAGACAGCTAATTCACTTGGAGTTTGTCAATCCTCTACCATCCTATAGAGAAGACATTCATATTTTGCTTCTCATGCAATCCATATTCATTTCCAATATGGATTAAAATGTACGAATACTAAGATAGAATCTGGAAGACAGGTAGGAGTGGCCTGTGTTAAATCACCTGCATCATAGCAGCTTTCCTGCAAGCCATTTATTTTACTATTTCAATAACCATATTAATGCCTAAAAACTCTTCACACAAGGATGTATTACCTCCCAGATAATTTAAAATCATATCCTTTCATTTTTCAGGTACTAGTGAGAAATCTGCAATTTGAGGATGGAAAAATGATTCCTGCATCTAAATACTTCTCTGCTGATGAAACAACTGCCTTGGAACTTACAGAAGAGGAGAAAAAGATGGCAGAAGATATTAGGGTAATTCAATAAACTGCTTTAGTAGGATATTACTTCAGACAAAAGCATTACATACTTCTCATTATGGGCAAGGCATATCTTTTATTCAACCATGCAAATTGTTTTTTTATAAAATATACTCAAGGAGTATGGGGTTCAATCTTTAATTATTGACATTAATTCAGGTGGAATTGGGAATTCACTATAGTACTTACGCATCACTAGAAAATTTTCTTTCAGATACAAGTGATACAAAGACAGTGACTGCAGGGTCAGTTATGCGAAATATCTATGAATGATGAAGGCAGGAGTGAGGAAAAACAAATGGACCTTCGCCTCACAACAGTGAGGTTTCCAACACTGACAGACTTGGACAATTCTGAAATCCTTTCTTCACTGTGATGTTACTCACTAGGATGTGCTCAGAGCGGTCCTGTTGGACAAGCTCTAGGGAGTCTTACAACAGCAGTCTGAAAGAGAAAAAGCAGCAGTTTTCTTGCTGTACCTCTGTGCGCTGTCTCTCTTTGGCCACAACCACACGAAAAGGGCTGGCTGGCCAAGGGATGCAACACTGCAACAGCAGGAACAGAAAGCTCTCACAGCTGGAGAGGCACTTTGCTGCCCTCTCCTGTAATCCATCCCTCTGTATTGAGTGTCAGGGGCTTAGCTGAAAGCCACATTTGTCATTAAAGTTTTGTGCCAGAGCAAGTGAATCACAGACATCGTCCCTTCTGCTAACTCTGCTACAGGGTCAATAACTTTTGGCGTAGGTCAGGCAGCTTGATGCACTAATATTTTAAACTGCTGCTTCAAGATTACCTTGAACCTGCTTACCGGCAACCTAAATGCTGCCTGTAGCTGTTGACTGACTGAGACAATAGCAGAAATACAAACTCTTCAGTTCATGACACTATCGGCTAACTCTCAAACCTAATTATAATTACTTGAAATACTACATTACCAGTTATTTCACTATTCATGTTAGCTGAAACCTCCATCTCATGCATGCAGTTTAAACTACTTCTCAGCTCTGCCCAGGTGCCAGAAATGCCATTTATCCAGTCACAAAGTGCTCCAGGCTGTCCTTGCCTCTGCTGCTGATGTATTCCATAATGCAATGTTATTATTTAGAGGATAAATATCTTTAAAAAAAATGGGCGTGAAAATTATTGGCATTATGCCATTCAGGTTTCTTGCCTGATTAGATGAAATTATCACGGACAAAATAATGTATTTTGATAAGCCAATTATGCTGAAGGATTTATTGGCTAACATCAGGTCTCTAGACACCTCTAGATTCTCTTAAAATAATTTTCTGTTTTAGAATCCTTTGAAATAATACATATTGTAGGCACATATACCATAGAAAATACTGATTGATAAATACCCCTTGCAATTAGAGGATTATTCATTATTGCCTCTGTTATTTTTATGTATTATCAGGCTATTTGGAATGGAATTTTGAGCAATGTTGCTGTAATTGAGGATTCCACAGACTTCTTCAAATCTGGAGCATCTTCTATGCATGTTGTCAGGTAAAAATATTTGAAATAACAAAATTTTGAAGCCATAGTTAATGGAAACAAAGTTGTCATGGTGCTTTTAAATCAAGGTTGATAAAGTAGTGTTAAAAAAAAAAATCCCCCTATACTTTCCAATACTCTAACTCTTCTCTTTCCTGCCTTTGAAAATGTGATACAGTTCTGCTCCCAAAATTAGAAGATATTGACATAATCCTTCTCTTTCTACTGAAGGAAAATACTCCTTAACTTCAGGAACATCAGCCACATGGGGGAGCACGGTGATGCTCAAACCTCTCTGCATGCAGTGACAGGTAGCTCAAGACCAGGAGGCTGATTGGGAAGCTGAGCAAAGAACTCCCCAGAGGGAAAGA